TCAGTATAAGGTAATTCCTTTAACTAGTATATCGATTTGGAGACTGGTTCCATCGAGAATTGGAAGCACCTAGAGTATGAATTCTTAAACCGGTTCTACAGCATCAAGAGAACCGTCAGCATGACCGAACTCACCAACAGCCGCCAATGGAAAGATCTACCGGTAGACACAAAGATACATACAAACACACAGACAAAGACACACGCACACAGAGACACACACACACAGACAAAGACAAAGAGAAAGACAAACACAAACATACACACGGACTTACTCACAAACACACACACACAAACATATACACACACACAGACACATTTACAGACAAGCATAGATACACACAGACTCAAACAAACACACACACATACATACATGCACATATACGTACACAGGCCCACATACATTCACACACATAGACACAGACATACTTACACAGGCCCACATACATTCACACACATAGACACAGACATACTTACACAGACCCACATACATACACTTACATGCTTAAACACAAACACACACAGGCTTACACATAGATCATATACATACACATACAAACTCATACACAAACACAAACACTTACATACACATACACACTCACACAGAGATACACACATAACACACACATAAACTCACATATATACATACTAACACACAGACTCACATACATACAGACAAAGACTCACACAAACTCACATAAATACATACTCACACACAAAGACACACATAGAGACTCACACAAACTAACATACATACACACACAGACTCACACAGACACATACACACACACATATACAAACACACATATAGACTCATGCAAACCCACATGCACACACAGACTCACACAGACCCACATACATATACATACACAAACGCACACAGACCTACATGCATACACACACAGAAGCACACACACATATACAAACACTCCCTTACACAAATGCACAAACACTCACACACAAAGACATATACACACACAAAGACTCACAACTAGACACACATACATACACACATACAAACTCATGCACATAGACTCACACAGACTGACATACATACATACACAGACACAGGCACAGACATCCACATACACACACACATAGGCTCACGCAAACCCACATACATAAACACACAGACACTCCCACAGACACCCACATACACACACGCAAACTCACACATAACAACATACATAGACACACAGACACACACATATACACACACACAAACTCACACACATACATACTTAAACATAGACACACACAGACTCACAAAGACACATACACATAGACATAAACACACACATACACATACAGACTCTCAAAGACCCACGTACAAACACACACACCGACTCACACAGACCCACATATATACACACACAGAAACCCACATACACACACATGCTTACACAGACCCACATACATACACTTACAAACTCACACACAGAAATAATCTCATCCACTCATACACACACAAAGATACCCACGGACACACATACACACACAAAGATACTCAATCAGAGTCAGATATATACACATACAGACTCATACACAGACACATACACATACACGCATACAGACTCACATAGAAGTTACCTTAATATAACTTTTTTTTTATTATAAGTTTCCATATAATATAATTTATATCTAAAGTTTTCCTTATTATTTGTTTCTTTTTATATTCTTCAAGGATCTCTATAAAAGATCTTTGTCTAACATTGTAATGAGACAACTTACATCTTGCATCAAAATTCATTATTTTAATTTTTTAGTGTTAGGGAGTAATTTTCTCGCATTTAGAGTCTCAAATCGGGTGTTTAAAGTAATTCTATCGGTTTGTGGCTTTCATTCTCTTACAGTGGGATTTAGCCTATTTTTTATTTTTTTAGCATATGGTTTCGATTTTATGTCTGAAAATTATTCTCATAGTTTGTTATCATACAAGTTAATTCACATTTTATTCTCATAGTTTGTTATCATACAAGTTAATTCACATTCTCTACACTATCTTTTTTTTCTTCATTCTCCATTTTTTCATCTATATTTTGAATCCATTGGTTCTATTAAACTTTATAGATAAGAAAAATATTATGGGTGTAATTATACACGGTTGGATCGCGTTATCTGGTGGTATTAGAGCCTTGTCCTCAAGTTTTCTATCAATTTGAGTCGATCATAGTCAAATTTTGTTCAAAAAAAAAATGTCTGTTCTAATCAGGAGATAAAACCAAAACAAGAACAAAAAATTGAAAAAAAAAACTATTATCAAATCTTAAGGTATTTGTTATTTACTTATATTCTCAAGTCATCTGTCCTTTTATACAAGGAAAAAAAAAATCTACTTAGAATTTTTATCTTCTACTTTCATTCTCAAATAATCTTTCTTCGATTTTACTATTGTTTCGGATTTTTTTTTTTTTTTTTGCTATCATGTTTGGGAGAATTCTATCGATTTGAATTGAGTCCTTTTTTAAGAAACGAAGAGTTACATAGGGTGTTTTTGTTTGTGGGCTTGGATTTTTGGGTTTGAATTTTTTAATAGTAAAATATTAAATGTGAATAGTTATTTGATGTGATATAAATAGATGTTGATGTAATATTTTGAATGTAAAATTAATTTTTACTATAATATAAAAAAAGAGAAGTACCTGTTTTGATTTAATTTTTTTTAGGGAAAAAAGAATTTGAATAATAAAAATATGTGATAAAACTCACAAAAGAACACAACCATAAGATGTGGAGTGATAAACGAGAGTCCTTGTGAGGTTATTCTTTCTTTCTTCTCATTTTAATGGCAGGTGATGAAGGATCCAATTCCCAACAAGTCGATGTGCAAGGCCTTCTCGATACCATTCTATAAGAGTTTAAAAATTTTCACATTCTGGATTGTAACTGACGAACAATAGAATGGATCAATTGGAAAAGAATCAACAAAAATTACAAAAGAACATCTGACAGCCACCTAAAGCTCAGAGGCGGAGATTTTCATCCGCTTTTGAGACCAAGACACATGATTCGGCCTCTACCCCCACACAACTTTGACAAGCCTGATGATGAGGAATTTGAGGAGTTGGGAAGAATGTTTAACTCATGCTGAATTTGCATATAATCTTACTATTCATAGTTCCACGAATTGTTTTCAATTTGAGGTTGTTTATGGTTTCAACTAAATTCCTCTTGATCTTATGTCATTGTCAAGCAATGAGCATGTTAGTTTTGATGGCAGAAAAATAGTTGAATTTGTCCTACAACTCCATTCATAAGTTCGGGATAACCTATGAATGACAGCTGACAATTACACAAAACAAGCTAATTGTGGCACAAGAAAGTTATATTTGAGACAGAATATTGCGTTTCGTTACACTTAAGGAAGAAAATATTTTTATAATTGCGAAAATCAAAATTTACTCTCCATGGCAATGGGTCATTTTGAGTATTGAAATGCATTAATGACAATGCGTACAAACGTGAACTCCTAGGTGAGTATTAAGTTCATGCTACCTTTAATGTTTCAGTCCTAAGTCTTTTTTATGCAGCTGATGAATATCTTGTTCGGAAAAACAAGAAAGCTTTTGAAGAAGGAGGAAATGACTTGGACGTTCAATCTCCAAGAATTCAAATGCCCGTGGGACCCATCACTCGAAGCCTAACTCGTCAGTTTCAGGAATCTGTCACAGCATTGACCTGACGATTTTTCTTTGAGAATCAACTTAAGAATGATGCTTGGAGACCACTTAGCCTTCACATGACACTCCTTTAGTGACATCTACAAGAATCAGAATTAAAAAGATCAATAGGATCGCTAAATATGGAAGATTATCATAAAAATCATCAGTTATGGAAAGACAAAATTGCTCTTAATTCCCACGTGGTTTTGACATTTAGCGTAAATCTCCCTATACTTTAAAAATGTTTGGCACTCCCTTATATTTTAAAAAATGTTACATGAAAACCCCCTTATACACGCATTCCGTTCTTAATTAATATGTTGCTAATAATTAATATGTTGCTAATGATAAAATAAAAATAGATATTTGACTTGTAAATAATAAATATCATATAAAGTCTTCAAATCATAGGGGGGAAAGAGAGAAGGGAATAGACATGATGAAAATTGAACTTTCAAACTAAAGATCAAAGATTGAGGGTTTTGCCAAAAAAAAATATATATATATATATATATATAAAAATTTGTGAATAATTATAATTATGATTAAATTAAAAATAATCTATATATTTATCAAAATATAATATTCGGTAATAAAGTCGACATAAAAGGGTATTTCGCCAAAAAAATCATATAAAAATTTGTGAATAACTATAATTATGATTAAATTAAAACAGACTGTATATTTATCAAAATATTTGAAAGGCGCTTCATAAATTAAAACATGGTTTATATATATATATACATATAATTTTCAACATTAAAGCTATGAAAATGGCATACGGATCAACCGTTGAAATAGAAACACTCAGCACCATGCTGAATGACTCAAAAATGAAATAGTTTAATTTGTATAGTTATGTTTAATTATTAATATAATTATCATAATTAAATGTAAAGTATTATTTTCTTTAAGCATGGGATCCCCACCACCCATGAAAATATGACTTTATATTTGAATCGAAATAATATACACATTTCAACAGAAAAATATTATGAATTCTAGTTTGAAGTCCATCTTGTCTAAAAAGGAATCGTGGGATTAATGACAGCCATATCTTCTCGTGGTTTGGCCGATTAAGATGGAAATGGCTTTACTACCTTCATTGACCTTCTTCCAAACTTCAGTTTTACATACAAAGAAAAGAAAAGAGGAGAAGAAAATAAAAGAAAAAAAATATGAGAGTTGTCAAGTTAATTTGGAGGCTTCCTATGATGATCATGAAATATGGATTTTCTCATGCGAATTTGGTATTATTTTCTCGTCAATCATATTTTTTACAATGGAATGATTATATTATTATTAATATTCCATTTGATTTGTTGTTGATCATCAGGAGCCAACGGTAGCTGCCTCTTGCCCGAGACGACGACGTCCACTGCACACCTGCGGCGCCTCATTGATCGCCATTGCTCACAAAACATGCAAAAAGATGCAAGAAGATTTTGAGAAGGGGCCATTGGGATCATGGATATGGATGTTGGGTGGTGCTTTCTCAATTTTAAATTTGATGGCCCCATTTTTATATGGCCTGCTATGTAATTGGTTAGCATTGCTAACTTTCATCGATGACAATATCATCCTCTCAATCGAAACCCTGGTTGAGGCCATATTCCCTCCATCAAAAGCAGTGTTTGACAAGATCGATGGCCTTGTCTGCACTGCCGAATCTTTACCGGAACATTTCGATGGTTTGATTAGAAACTTCCCTATGATCATCCACAACAAGCTCCCATTCCTCGATTGGATTCTGGTGCATCTCATTTCATGGCTCAACTCTCTCCTTTCGGTCCTCAACTATTGGGGATCGAAGAACTGCACCACCAGGGAAAAGGAGATAACCATCGATGTTTACTGCAGCGATAGAAGATTAGCACCGGACAGGAAAACTACTCATCAGGTCGAGCAACCACCGGATCCTGAAAGGGATCATAATCAGATCATCCATTCATCAAATCTTGAAGTGAGTGACTGTGACAAAGCAGTCATCCTGAAATCGGTAGACAGATTAATTTCATCAAAGAATGAAGATGAGGAGGAGGAGGAGGAGGAGCCGCACCATTATTATTCCTACGAGTCTGCAAATTCGTCTCCGTTTTCCGATTGCACACAGGAAGAAACAAAAGCAACATTCAGCCCAATAGTGAGCAGGTCAGATGCTACAAATTGCTGCAGCACTTACAAAGACATTCTTAAGAAAGGAACCACAGAAGAAGAACCAGGCGAAACTGGAAATTAATTAATTAAGAAAGAAAGAAACTCCACCGGTTGGGCCATGATTAATTAAAGAGAAGCCTCGAGATATATATATATATATAGAGAGAGAGAGAGAGAGAGAGGAGGAATTGCGATAAGTTTTGCAAGTATATATCTGGATTCTAGTTGATGGCTTGTTTCTTCAGAACTTCTGGATTTGTGTATATATATTATAAATTACGGGTAGATTTTGATTGCTGATTTTAGGGAATTCTATTCTATGATCAGTAAGAAGTTATAAATTGTATATTCAATTATAGGAAGCTGTCTCTGATCAAAAAAAAAAGAAAAAAAAAATTATGGGAAGCTGTCTCTGATCAAAAAAAAAAATTATGGGAAGCTGTCATCAATAAACTTTATCTTTTCTAGTAACAAACCAAATATGATTGTTGTTGCCAGTTTGGTTGATCCTCTAATTATTCGTTTTGTGAATACTGCATCTGAATCAAATGAGGTATCCCTAATGAGTATCGCGTCGATGTTGCGTCCCGGGAGTATTCTAAAGAACCCTCGAGTCTGAATCAACTTATACTTATATAATGGTTTCGAAATTTCCGAACATATATTAAGGGTGTGTTTGTTTGAGGGTTTGGATTTTGAGTTGTGATTTGAATAGTAAAAATTTTGAATTTGAATAGTTGTATGATGCGATATAAATAGGTGTAAATGTGATATTTTGAATGTAAAATTGATTTTTAGTATAATATAAAGAATGAAAAATAAATAGTTTCAAAGTTTTTGAACTTTTATTAGTATCGAAACTTCCGAATATATTTTAATTAGTCTCGCAATTTTTCGAATCTATTTCAAATAGTCTTGGAAATTCCGAGACCTTTATTATTCTCGAAAATTCCGGATATATTATAATTAGCCTCGAAAATTCTGAACTCTTATTAGTCTCGAAACTTCCGAACTTATTTTAATTAGTCTCGAAACTTCCGAACCTATTTTAATTAGTCTCAAAATTTTTGAACCCTTCTTAGTCTCGAAAGTTTTGAAACCTTTATTGGTCTAAAAAATTCCGAAACCTATTTTAATTAGTCTAACTTTCGAACTAATTAAAATTAGTTTCGGCAATTTGGAACATTTATTAGTCTTGAAAATTTTGAATTCTTATTAGTCTCGAAACTTTCAAACTTATTTAATTAATCTCATAATTTTCGAAATCTATCAAATAATTTAAATTTACCCGCCACGCTTTCCGTTAATTTAAATTTTATTCAAAATTAATTAATTTTTATTTTGATTTTACTTAGATATATATTTATAATTTAGTTATTGTGTAAAATTATATAAATAATAATTATTAAATTGTTACAATAAAAATAAAATAATAAATTTAATAAATAAATTATACAAATATTGATGTATTAGATAATAAAATAGTTTAAACTAAATATAATGATATAACAAAAATTAAAAAAATTAAAATATAAATATACAAATAATATTATATTATTATTATTCTTAATTATTTTTATTAATATTAATATTATTTTTTTAATTATTTAATAATATAATAATTTTAATTATAAATGTATTATTATTATAAAATACAATTTTGCCTGCGCCCTTGTTCCCAATTCTTTCATTTCTTCTTTCATATCATCGGCCTAGCCCTTTCCTCCATCCCAAATATAATTTCTTCCGTTAAAACCATTCTCCCTTCTTTTCTTGTCCTGCTCCTATATTTTTCTTCTCCTAATTTCCCTCCTGCTCCGTATCCTCTTTGGCGATGAAAACAGAGGCCGCGATAACAATGGAGGCAGAGTCGGGGCGACAACGATGTATTCTCCTCTGTTAGAAATTTTGGGGGAAATAATGAAATTGTGTTGTTATCATCAAAATAAGGGCCTCTATATAGGCAATACAAAACAAAACAGACTTGATAAAGTCAAATCTAACTAATCAATATGACCAAATCTAAATATAAATCTACTAAATCTAAAACTGAATATCTAAAATATCTCAATATCCCCTCAAACTCAAGTGGTATAACAGAAACCCACTTGAGTTTGATAAGAAAGTTGAATAGAGGCGCAAAAGATGCAAATAAAAATAACAGTTGCTTTGTAACACCCCGGCCGGCTCATACCGGAGCGTCACCGCCACATCACACTGTAAGGCTCGTTCATCAACCAACTAGCCCTACGTTGTGGCGCTAAGGCTAAAACAATAAATACAAACAACTAAACAGTGATTAAAATTAAAACGCACCGATTTATCATTTAAATAAATAAGGTTCGAGTCAAAAGTATAAGTTGGAAATAGTTCAAAAGACACTAGTTTTTAAACATTAATAAGGGATTTCAAAAACTGTTAGAAGATAAAGTAGTTATAATTTCCCCGATGGATCATATGGCGTGGATGCATCATTTAGGTATAACAGAAACATGATCACCTACAAAAAGGTTGTAAGAAGAGGGTCAACACAACGGTTTAGTAAGCGCAATTAATAGAAGATAAATTAATACGGGATAATGCCACAAAATTATTTGAAGAAGATAATTTGAATAAGATGACACATATCACATAAGGATAACTCACACACACGAGTCTTTTAGCGCCTCCCTTATATCTCATTTTTATTCTCAAATAATAGTGATGAACACATCACGAAGAAAACTCCACTGGACCTTAATCAGGGCCGGCTCGACCCGATTTTCCAACCTTATTACTTCGTATGACACGTCACATAGTTTCACATAACAAACATAGGGTCACAACCCTCATAGAAAACTCCACAATGTGTACATAAGGGTTCGAAAACCAAAGTACACGTAAATCAAAATATTATTAGTTTGTGAGAGGCGCCATACGGCCCACAACCCTCTAGTCTCCAATGTAACATACCAAGAGGGGATTGTACACAATCCAACCCTCCATCACGGATGACGGCCTAAAGCCCTTTTCATTGTGAATGACAGACACCTCGGAATCACCTAAAAAGGGAACCCGCCATCTCGATCCCTCGACCTAACCCATTCGGGATCTAGTTCAAGGTTAGCTAGTTATCCTAAAATACCAGTATACCCTCACGTGTTTGCAAGGCACAGAGGTGGAAGGCTATGCCTTATCATCCAAACAATTGACGAGTTGATCGGACTCGACGGGTAGTTTCAATTACCAATTTGACCAAATATTCAACATGCTCTTAGGCAAATTTCAAAAAGAGTGTTTTAAACTTAAAATATTCCAATTGTCAACATTAAATCATGCTAAAGTAGGATATTAGACCCAACAAGTTCGTTATAATCTCACTTTATTTCGCCAAATAAACATTCAAAAAATATGTCAATCACAATAGGCATGGTCTAACTCCAAAAATCATAATATTTAAATATAATCGTAAATCTTTTTCCAAAAACCATAACTAGGTTAGGGCAAAACTAGGGTTTCAAACCCATATCATAAATTCTACGATTTTCAATTTAAAATCCAATAATAATCTTCGCATAAGTGTTAGATGAAATTATAATCAACTTTCTAGAAGAAATTGACAAAACCTAACACTTTTAGGGCAAACTCATTTGACAATAATTTTGAAAAATAATATCAATAGAAGGGGTCTAGGGATTATAATATATTATCTATCTAAGATTAATCTCACTTACGTTAAGAAAATAGACCAAAAGGAAGAGTTTTGGAGAAGAAGAATTCCAAGGAAGAATAAGGGGAGGGGGCTCGCGGCGTAAAGACTTGGACTCATCCTCTCTCTCTATATATATATATATGCACTCTAACCTGGATACACTATATCTTAACAAACTATAGATACACTATATCTTATCAAATCCACACTTGCATATGATGTATCTTAACAAACTACAGATAAAGATATCTAAATCAAGAGATATCTAGTTTATTATTTATTTTACTCCAAACTCAATTTTACTCCTAATTTAAAGCCAATTCCTTAAATAACGGGACTCTCATTGCAATCAGAAACATGGTTCTGAAGAAACATAGCAGACGAATCGCAAACAGATGTGCAAAGATTACTTCAATCGTAGACAAAATCAGGACTCAAAACAGAATTAAAATCAGAAACAAAAAGACTAGAAACTATGGGCAAAATCTCAAAATTGGAATACCTCTGGGTACATCTCAAGTTGAATGTACCCGGAGAAACGTAGGATGGTAGACTATATATATGGCATGAGAAAAATAAGCTCTGATACCATGTTAGAAATTTTGGGGAAAAATAATAAAATTGTGTTATTGATCGTCAAAATAAGGGGATATAGGCAACACAAAACAGACTTGATAAACTCAAATCTAAATAATTTAATCTATAGGTAAAACTAAATCTAAAACTTGATATCTAAAATATCTCAACATTCTCTTCCGTCATCTTTTCTCCGGCAACGAGGGCAGCAGAGGCGGCAAAAGTGGCAGCTTCTCCGGCAGCGGCAGCAGCGGCAACCATGTGTTCTTCTCCTCCTCCTTCTCCGGCAGCTGTGGCAATGGCGGGGTCGACGGCGGAACAGCGTCTTCTCCTTCTCTTCCTCCTTCTCCGGGCTCGGCAGCGGCAACCGCAACAGCGGCTGCAGAAGCGGCGAGCCGGCGGTTATAACTGCGTCTTCTTCTCCTCCTCCTCCTTCTCCAGCGGTGACTGGAAGCGGCAGCAGCATCTTTAACTCCTCTTCGATAGGGACGGCAGCAACGGGCCGGCAGCTGTAATGGCATTTTTCCTCCTACTCCTTCTCCAGCAGTGATGGCAGCGACAACAAAGGTAATGTCTCTTCTTTCTCTTCCTTCTCCGGTGGCGGCGGATGTGGTGGCGGCAGATCGCCGGAGAAGATTTTGAATTTCTTTTTTAAAAAAATAATTAATAATTGCTTCGAAAATTTTGAGGCCACACCAAAATAGTTTCGAAATTTTAAAAATAATTATCAAAATTTATTACATGCTTGTGTATACTTTCGCTTCGGATTTGATTTTGAAATTTTCGAAGCTATTTTAAATAGTCTCAAAAATTCCGAAGCTACTTGAAATTGACTCGGAATTTCCAATACTTCTCAAAACAGCCAAAAAAACCTGTCACGGGATACATGAATGTCCGAAGCTAAAAACAAATAAGTTCGAAATTAGTTCAACTTCTGAATCAATTTTCGGAGGCTGTTAATTAAACTTCTTGGTAGTGGATAAATTTATTGGTCTATTATTTAGCTACATTCAATAATAATAACTAGCGTGTTGCCATACAAATGCACATTATATATATATACACTAGTACTCGTGTGAATGCGGCTAAGCCGCACAAGTTTTTGTTATGGTAGAATATTTTTTGTAATTTTTTTTATATAGATATGTTGTTTGAGTTCATTAGCGGTGCATATTTTACATTTTTTATTTCTTGAAAGAAAAGATAATATAAATATATTTTATGAAAAAAAAAAAAAAAATTGACTGATTTAGTTTTACGAAAGAGGAAGAGAATAAGAGAAAATAAAAAAAAATAATATAAATATTGTTACGTACAAAAAATAATAATAATAATAATAATGATAATGGTAGCAGAGGTCGGATAAGATAAGGTCGGACGAACAAAGATGAAATGGCAGATGCGGAGGTCGGACAAGATAAGGTCGGACGAAGAAAAGGTCTGTTGGTTGGTCACTTAATTAAGCGACCTGTTAATTGCCTGATCGATTGGCCGGTCACTTGGTCAAAACAGTAGTTCAGTCGCTTCAAAGGGCGGTCAGTTGGTCACTTGATGGGGCGACCAATGAATCGTCTGAACTATTGGTTGTTCGTCCGTTTGAAGGGACCGGATGGTGGTCGCTTGATTGTCTCATCCTTCTTCGCCCGACCTTATCTTGTCCGACCTCCTTTAAGACTCTGCTACCATTATCATTATTATTATTATTATTTTTTGTACGTAACAATTCCTAATTTGAGTGTTCAGCAAACCAAACATTCTTAAATAATGATGGTCAAAGAGTTAGGTGCAGAGTTTAGAAAATCTTGAAGAGTCGGACGCAGTATTGAAAATATGAAAATTTGGCGTAATTTTGTGAAATTTTATATGAATTTTATATAGTTTTGCTAAATATATATATCAAGTCGTATTTATACGTTTGCATAGTTTATCGTCCATTGTGAATCACATTTCAATTGGCTGCACAGATATAAAAATATATATTTATATAATCTATTATATTTCTTTCTCTCATCTGGGGTGATAATGCTTTGGTTCTTTTGTTTTGGAGATTCTTAATTTTCTTTATAAAAATTCTTTTTAATTGTCAATATTTGTCTAATTCTGAGAATAACGTTTGTGATTGTTAGATTGATTGAATATTTTTGCACCGATATTTGAATTAGTCTGATAATCTAAAGTCAATTCAGGTAGGATATCCGTAATTGTATTCGTACTTGAATAGGTGACAACCAGGTTGAATAGTTCCTTCCCGAGGGTTTGACAATCAAATCTAATTGCTCCTCTTAGGTAGTAATTGTTTTGAATTGGGTTTTTCTTGATTAGAATACAATTAGGCAATATTTCTTATGGGCGCACCTAGGTTTATTTGCTTAATTAGGGGTAGTTAACGGTCGTACCTTAATTACCTGCACTGTAAGGAAAAATTGGTTGTCAGAGCTTGTTGATAACTATAACCAATTTATTGATACTTTAATAAGAACTAACTTTATTGAATCAATGATAAAAATACAAGTGCCATAACTGCATCATCCCTTGAGCCAGACATCCCCTTAATAGCTAGTTCTCCCTTAATTTAATTGTTTTCTTGTTTTATTTTCATTAGATAATAAAAGAAAATTCCCCCCAATTATTTACTGCATTAGAATACAAAAGAGTGAATCACACAATCCCTGTGGAGACGATACCTTCCCTTGTATTACATTAAATTATGATCATGGAATAGGTGAAATATTTGATTGACCGCACGACAGGTCATCTACTACTTGCTTCGTTGGCGCCTCCATGACCTGTTTTCTTTCTGGAAGCTACTTCACAACTTGTTTCCTTAGCAACTCCACATCCTGCTTTCTTTCTGGAAGTGGCTCCATATCCTGCTTCTTTGGCGGCTCCATGGCCTGATTTCTATCTGGAAGCGGCTTCATAGCCTGCTTCTTTTTTTTAAGGCAGCTTCATGGCCTCCGGCTTAGATTCTTTGTATACTTTTCTCTTCTCCAATCATGAGGTTTTTGGACTTGGGATGATGACACCGACATTAATCTCCCTCTTGACCATTCTTTGTCTTATCTTCTCCATGTTCGAACTTGGGACTTTATCAAATATCACTCTTGTGAATACGGATTTTTTAGCGGGTGCCTTCGGTCCTAGACATTCTTTAACCAAAAGTTTTGTCGGATGGGTGCTAAGCCTGTCTTTCATAAGCCCTTTAGCTGACATAGTATTAGAAAAGAAATAAACCCTTTGGTCGGCTTCAATGCTGGACACAAATAAGTCTTTCCATTTGCTAATTTTGTGGCCAAAGCTTCTGCCTCCGTAAAGTCCTTTTCGTCTGAAGTTGCTAGGGCTTCTACCCCTGCAGGCTCCTTTTTGTATGGAACCTCCATAGCCTCTGGAGTCTCTTCCCCTACAACCTCTTTTTCGTATGGACTTCTCATGGTCTCTGGAGCCTGTGTCTCTGTAGAGTCCATTTCATATGGAGCCTCTGCTCTTACATCCTCCTTTTCATTAGGAGTCTCCACGGTCCCTGGAGTCTCTGCCTCCGCAATTTTTGGAGCTTCCATGACTTCTGTAACCTCTGCTTCCGCAAAATCCTTTTCGATTGGAGCCTCCACAAGCTCTGGAGCTTCCATGGCTTCTGGAACCTCTGCCTCCGCAGACTTCTTTTCAACTAAAGCCTCCGCAGTCTTTGGAGTCTCTGCCTCCACAAGCTCTGGAGCTTCCATGGCTTCTGGAACCTCTGCCTCCGCAGACTTCTTTTCAACTGGAGCCTCCACAGCCTCTGGAGTCTCTGTCTTCACAAGCTTTGGAGCTTCCATGGCTTCTGGAACCTCTGCCTCCACAGACTCCTTTTCGATTTGATACTCCACAGCATCTGGAGTCTCTGCCCCTGCAGCTTCTTTTTTCGTATGGAGGTGAATTTTCCATGCTCAAAATGGCACTAGGCATCTTTTCAAACATTCTTTTTAAAAATGTCCTCCTTATGCAATCTGCGATGACATCAATGTCCATTAGAGCCTTGGCCTCCCGTTGATTTGGTCTCAGCGACTGCACTCCGGCTGCCTACTGATGGAAGGTTGGCGGTTGCATCTTTGCGGCCCGCCCTCCTTACCCCTGTGTTTCGATGATCCCCTTCCATTAAAGATTAGCCATGTTCGGACCGTGACATCCCTATGGTGGTATCAGCCCATTTCACATAGGTTGTCCGCTTAATCACCCTGGCGGGATCATGCCAAATGCTGGAATTTTGTTTGCCCCTTGTGGAGGCTCAGCACTGCTCTTCAAAACTCCATCGACCAAGGGGATCCGGCCTTCCGCAAGTTGTTGACTCCAGCGCTCCGCAGGCTGTTGGCTTCAGCCATCCACAGGCTAATGGTTCCAGCCTTCCGCAAACTAGTGGTTCAGCCTTCCGCAGGTTGTTGCCAGCCTTCCACAGGCTGTTGGCTCCAGCCATCCGCAGGTTGCTGGAACTAGCCTTCCGCAGACTGGTGGTTCTAGCCCTCCGCAGGTTGTTGCTTCCAGCTTCCTGCAGGCTGTTGGTTCCAGCCTGATCTTGTCTGCCCCGACCCTAAGGTCTGAAACATTGGATGTTCTGCAACTATTCCGTAACTTTCTTCAGGCGGTACAAATGAACCCTATGTCAACCTCGATATCACTCTTCGAAAATCCGACTTTGGTCCCGTCGGGTGTGCCAATTGTTGGATCCTAAAATTCGGAGGTTCCAAGACTGTTCGTCGATTTGTCGATGTGGGTTTCAGAAGTACTCCAAAGAGCCTGTCCGTCGTCGGATTTGGGGCGGCTCCTGCGATGAAGCCTGCACAGCTTCGATTTTAAACGAGGCTTCGAGCCTAAACGACCGATTTCGATGGATTTAAACTAAAATCTACTAAAATTCGAATAAATCTATTGGAAAACCGATAAAAATATGTCAGAAACATAAAGACAAGTAACTTGAATTAAAATGCATAAATGGAAACTAAAGACTACGAAGAGAAAATAGAGAAATATGCAAGTTCATCTTTTTGTGTCTGTGTGTGATGTGTTTTTTCTTAGTTTTAATCATAATATAGAATAACCGCCTCTTCCCACTAAAAGGGGCAGTTCCAATCATTCCACCACCACTCTCAACCTCCTGGTAACCTCCCACTACTATCTCCAACTGCCTGGTAACCTCCTTCGAGTACCTCCAACTCCCTAGTAACCTCGTTCTATCAGTTCCCTTGTAACCTCATTTCATCAGTTCCCTAGTAACCTCCTTCTATCAACTCCTAATCACCTGGTAACCTCATTCCATCAGCTCTCAACCGCTTCCATTGCCTCTGGACCAGGTTCCACTTGCTCTGAACTTCTTCAATTGCTTCTGGACCAGATCTGCCGCTTACTCCGACTTGTTTCCATCGTACTCCTAGCCGGTCCACTGGGATGTGTCCCCAACAACCTCGAGTTAAACGGAATCTTCGGTTTTCCTCTTGTTGGCTTGTTCCATTGAGCTTTTTTAATAAAGTATGAAAGTGCATAGGCCTTCCACTAATGTTCAGTACAAATTTATTAACCTAGGACCAATGGAGGTAGTAGTTATCACATGATCTGTGGAAGCTTTTCTATCTTATGGAAGCAACCTTCCTCTTCTTTGTAGAAGCACCACAGTCCAATTGAGGTAGTTATTTTCAACCCAATGGAGACAATAATTTTTGACCTTATGGAAACATTGTTCCGGGATGGAGGCTCCATAGTCCAAGAAGTTACTGCCCTAAACTCCATAGAGACTGCTGCTTTCGGCCCAGTGGAAACACCACAATCTAATGGAAGTTGTTGCCTTCGGCTCTGTGGAAGCAGCCGTCTTTAGCTCCGAGGCTTGATGCTCCATTGCTGTTGAGCGGCTCCATGGCCAATGAGCTCTGACTCCACTTTTATCTGTGAATCTCCTTCACGTTCAGTTGCTTTTGGACTTATGTCTAACAATTACATATTGTGTTCTTTTTATTTATACTAGTCATTTTTTTTTTCATTTTTATTGTATATGTGTTTGTTTTTTTTAATTGATTTGATTCTGAATTATATTCTAATATAATTTTTAATTTAGTAGTTTATATTCAGATTTTGAATCTTTTGATTTGAACGAATATTTGAGGAATTCATAAAAAAATTATAGTAAATTTTAATATATAATTTTTTTTATTTTGTATATATTTAATTTATTATTTATTATAGTTCTTTTATTTATAATGATTAACTATTTTCATTATTATTTTTTTTTAATTGATTTGGTTTCAAATATTATATTTAAATATATTTTTTTAATTTTGTAGATTATGTCTAAATTTTATCTTTTTACTTAAACAAATATTTGAAAAATTCTTATAGTAAGTTTTAATATATAAAGAAATTATTATTATTTTAGTACTTATTTAATTTCAAGTATTATATTATAATTTTTATTTTTTTTATTTTAATATTATGCCCAAATTTTGGGTCTTTTTATTTGAATATTCATTTGAGAAATTCGTACAATAATTATGATAAGTCGTAGTAATATATAAAAAATTTATTTTTTTCTGTATTTTTATTCTTACTTTTATGTGTTTTCTAATTAATATATTATAATTATCTATTATATTTTTTATTTTTTATTTTTAATAATCAATTTGTTTCATTGTTAGTATGTGTTTCATAATTAATTTGATTTTAAGTATTATATTCTAATATATTGTTCAAATTTATAGATTATATTCATATTTTGAATTTTTTTTATTTAAAAGAATATTTAAAAAATTTTAAAAAAAATTATGATAAGTTTTAATATGTAAAGGAATATTTAGAAAATCTAAAAGAAAAACTTAGTCAAAACTGTGTATTTACTTGTCAAGTTTTACACTGATTTTACAATTTTAATTTTTTTTCTCCAAAAATATCAAATCAAACACCCAATTTTTATTTATTTTATTACACTAAAATTTAATTTTACATTTAAAACATCACATCAACACATATTTATATCACATCAAATAACTATTTCAATTCAAAATTTTACTATTTAAAATCAAAACCTAAAACTAAAACCTCACAAGTAAACACACCATCGTAACTACTATAATTTTATTTTAAAAAAAAATACTAGTTTATAATATATACTGATAAAATTATAATATTAATTTAAAATTATTAGAAAAAAAAAGTTTTTATGTCATATATAATCTTTATTTTATAATATATAGAATGTTATTACGAATTGTATTAATATTAAATAATAACTTAATAAAAATTATTATTATACAATATATTAATTTATTTCACAAAATATTTAAATTAAAGAAAACTAAATAAAATAAATTAATATTAGAAGTTATTATCTAATATATATTTAGAAATTAAATTATGGGTAAATTTTATAATACGTATACCTCTTATGTTTTAGTAGTAAAAATACACAAAATACTCTATATTTTATTTATTGTGTGAAATTTTTTATAATAAATTAAACTATAAACAAAACATTCTTTTCGTCGAAAGTTGATGTTTGGCTATAAATACACATCTAATTATTTAAATTTTATATAATTAAAAATATAAATATCTTAAATAACTTTATTTTAATAAAAAAATAATAAATAATTGATCAATTATTTTATATTAATATATTTGTAAAAATTAATTAAGAGTTTGTCTTCCAAACACTATCGACGGATGAGGGACAAATTATCAACTTATTTATTTTACTGAAAAAAAAAAACAACATTATTTATGATATTTTATTTTTTTTATTTAGATAAAACTTGAATAATTAGGTGAACGTTTACAACCAAAATAAAGGCGAAATTCATACAATAAATAAAATATAAGATATTTTATACATTTTTACTAAAATATAAAATATATTATATAATCGATCCTTAAATTATTCTTGTATTGTTAAATTAATATTAATATCTATTATCTATTTCTTTTATAATCTATGAATTATATATTTGACCTTGGTGGTTTCATGTGATCAAATTTTTTCTCTTATCTTTTTTAAATTTTTTAATAAAAATAATTATAATAATTGATATAGTTAATAATTTACTATTAATATTATAGAGTTATAATTGATATAATTAATGAAATTATACTTAATAAATATATTTATTAAAATCTAAAATTTATTATTATGTATATATTATATATTTGAACTCGACAAATTCTGCGTGATAAAATCTTTTTCTTTTTTTTTAATTTTTGAATTTATTAATAAAAATAATTATATTGTTTGATATAATTAATAACTAATCATTAATATTATAGAGTTATAATTGATATAATTAATGAAATTATAATTAATAAAAATATTTATTAAAATTTATTATTATTAGGGAAAAAATCAAAAGTCGTCTCAATTGAAACAAAAAATAATCAATTTTGGTCTCAATATAAAAAAATTATCGATTTTGATCCTATTACAAATAATTTTAATCACTTTTAGTCTCACACGATGACATATACATAACGGAATATGACGTGGCGGTAATTTGAAATAATCACACCACACACACGACCGTGTTTAATAAAGAACATGGCCATGTATTATATTGGAATCTAATGTTGGAAGTTTCTCCCGACGAACAGAGGATTACAACTACGTACTCCGATTGGCCGCTGTTCTCCTCGTAGGTGTCGTGGAGGCGGCCCCTGAGGGTGTCAAGGCTGCCCCAGGCCTGCTTCATCGTCAAACGTCCCACGCTGTCGAATCCTGCAGGTTTGCCGCTTGTGTCCTCCACGGACGTTTTCTCCCCATCCCTCGGCACTCTATTTATATATATATATATATATATATATCCGATGGTTCCTTAATTAATTGTTCTGTAATTATAATTCATATCAATAATTTAGGGTTTAATTTGTCTTCTTAATTATTTATGATTTTTTTTTCTCTTTTTTCTTTATGGTTCGATTGATCGGGATGAGGGAAGGATAATATATGAATTAATATCTATGAAATTGATTTTGAAATTTAAATGATATTATATGATAAGACATAAGCAAAAAGAAAATTGGGATAACAAACAAGAAATATCTTTTTCTCTAAATTCATTTGAATTTGATTTAGAGAGAGGAAACGAGAGATAAGAGAGAAAAGAATCCAATAAGAGAGAGAGTAACCGCGAGATATAAGCCCTGCTTTTTTATCAAATACGACCGGAGACAAGCAGCAAAGCTGCAAGAAACGGCGCCAAGACAAGCGGCAAAGCTGCAGGAGCCGACAATGGCGTGGGATGTTCGACGATGAAGTAGGCCTGGGGCAGCCTCGACACCCTCAGCGGCCGCCTCCGCGCCACCTACGAGGAGAACAGCAGCCGCTCGGAGTATGTAGCTGTCACCCTCTGTTCGGGATCGCAATGACGTCGGCGGAAATTTCCAACATCGGATTCCAATAGGATACATGGTTGGGGTCTTTATTAAACACGGCCGTGTGTATGGTGTGATTATTCCAGATTACCACCACGATATATTCCGTTATTTACATGTAAGCATTTTTTGTTAGTGGGACTAAAAGTGATTAAAATTATTTGTAACGGGACCAAAATCCATAAATTTTTTATATTTGAACCAAAAGTGATTATTTTTTGTTTCAACGGGACCACTTTTGATTTTTTCCCTTATTATTATATACTCCCTCTGTCCAAACAATAAGTATACATTTACTTCTGGCGCGGAGTTTAAGAAATAATAGTATTTTAATTATAGTGGGTAGGTAAAAGTAGTATCATGACATTTTTGCCCTTACTTTTTTGGTATAAAAATAATAATGTGATGTAAAGTAAATGTTTTTGTAGAAAAATGTAGGGTATTTAATGAAATTGTTACTTTGTAATTGGACGTCCTAAAATAGAAATATGTATACTTTGTAGCTGAACGGAGGAAGTATAAGACATCAATATGAGTTCCAGTAACATATATTTTTTTTTCTCCATTTTTTTAATTTTTAATAAAAATAATTATATTATCACTTATAATTATATTATTTGAAACTCAAAAACTTAAATATTATATTTATGATCAAAATTGAGTTCGGTGTTTATGACCCGAATTGCTGATATTTAATCATCGTCGGTTACTTATAGTTTTGCCTCGGGTATTAATTGTTCCGACGCGCATGGTGGAGGTGCGTAAAAGACAATTTCATTACCCTCATTCCAATCACACATCAACCTCCTCTGTTCTCTACTCTCATCTTTTTTCGACAATATTTTTCGGTGATAATTCCCTTTTTCGTAGCCACCGGATACAGTGTTTTCCCTATATTTTAGTTTATCGAAGCTCCAAACTATTGAAATGCTACCTAATTTGAAAACGATACGTCGTGTAAAAGTATAATTTACTTGTAATATTTTATTTAATTTTTATTTTGTATAAATGTAGTGTAATTTTTTTTTTCTATATTTACAGATAACTTCGTATATATTTTTCTTCAAATAATTCCTATATTAGTTTATATTAATAACACAATTAAAATTAAATTTTATTTATTTTTATTTATAATTTTAATTATATTTAATAATTGAAATTTTTCTAACAATGATCCTCTGGTTTAGAAACATGATACTCAAGTAGTAATGATTTTTAATAACATTGAATTATATTATTCACATTTTTTATATTTAATTTGAATATATTAATTTATTTTAAATAAAAATAAAAATATTGATTATTTAATGTAAATTTTTATTATTTTATTTCAAATATATTCGTGTATATATAAATTTCCAATCAATCACAACTATTTTATTTGACAACATTTTAATAAGTTATTTTTTTATTAGTTATTTCTAATAAGCAGTCATGTTAATAAATTTATAATTATGATAATTAATGTAATTATAATTAATAGATTTATTTAATAAATAAAATA